CTGGCCCCCCCAGCAGGCCGCGAAAGTGGCGACAGTTTCACAGATCGCAGCCCCACAGGGATGGCGAGGTCCCATTTGAGTCCGCCGTGGGTACCCACTGTGCTGGGCCCCCCAGCAGGCCTCGAAAGTGGCGACAGTTTCACAGATCGCAGCCCCCCAGGGATGGCGAGGTTCCATTTGAGTCCGCCGTGGGTACCCACTGTGCATGGCCCCTCAGCAGCCCTCGAAAGTGGCGACAGTTTCACTGATCGCAGCCCCCCAGGGATGGCGAGGTCGAATTTGAATTTGCGGAGGGTACCCACTGTGTTGGGCCCCTCAGCAGCCCTTGAAAATGCAGATCGCAGCCCACCAGGGATGGCGAGGTCTACTTTGAATCTGCGGTGGGTACCCGCTATGCTGGGCCCCCCAGCAGGCCGCGAAAGCTGCGACATTTTCACAGATCGCAGCCCCCCAGGAGTGGCGAGGTCACATTTGAATCCGCCGTGGGTGCCCACTGTGCTGGGCCCCCCAGCAGGCCTCGAAAGTGGCGACGGTTTCACAGATCGCAGCCCCCCAGGGATGGCGAGGTCCCATTTGAGTCCGCCGTGGGTACCCCCTGTGCTGGCCCCCCCCCAGCAGGCCTCGAAAGTGGCGACAATTTCACATATCGCAGCCCCCTCAGGGATGGCGAGGTCACATTTGAGTCCGCCGTGGGTACCCACTGTGTTGGGCCCCTCAGCAGCCCTCGAAAGTGGCGACAGTTTCACAGATCGCAGCCCCCAGGGATGGCGAGGTCCCATTTGAGTCCGCCGTGGGTACCCACTGTGCTGGGCACCCCAGCAGGCCTCGAAAGTGGCGACAGTTTCACAGATCGCAGCCCCCCAGGGATGGCGAGGTACACTTAACCCGCCGTGTGGTACCCACTGTGCTGGGCCCCCCAGCAGGCCTCGAAAGTGGCGACAGTTTCACAGATCGCAGCCCCCCAGGGATGGCGAGGTCAATTTGAATCCGCCGTGGGTGCCCACTGTGCTGGCCCCCCAGCAGCCCTCGAAAGTGGCGACAGTTTCACAGATCGCAGCCCCCCAGGGATGGCGAGGTCCCATTTGAGTCCGCCGTGGGTACCCACTGCGCTGGGCCCCCCAGCAGGCCTCGAAAGTGGCGACAGTTTCACAGATCGCAGCCCCCCAGGGATGGCGAGGTCCCATTTGAGTCCGCCGTGGGTACCCACTGTGCTGGGCCCCCCCCAGCAGGCCTCGAAAGTGGCAACAGTTTCACATATCGCAGCCCCCCAGCTGGCACGCCAGGGGGGAGGAGAGGGACAGGAGGGGGTGGGAAGGAGACGCGCGAGCAGTGCTCTATTCAAAACGAGAACCCAACGCAGGAGGGTTGGGAACATTCTAAGGACGTCGACGCCACGAGTCAAACTGACTGCTGCGCCCTGGCGATCCTGAATCGTGCCAGAACGCCTTCCCTGGGACTTCAACGCCGCGAATCACGTAATTGTTGAGCCCTGACAATCCTGAATCGTTCCAAAACGCCGATTCTAAAACGTCAACCCTGAAAACCAATGAAACTCTTGTATTTTCCTAAAACGAATGTGCGCGTCGCTGAAGCGAGAACCGCATTTTGAAAAAGAGCCCCCTTCAATCCGTGAAGCTCTTACAACGGCTTACAACGAATGTGCGCGGCGCTAAGGCGAGCGCAACATTTTGAAAACGACCCGCCCTCAATCCGTAACACTCTGGCAAACGTTTACAAAGAATGTGCGCGGAACCACTTCGAGAGCCACATGTTGAAAACCACCCGGCCCGCAATCCCCGAAACTCTTGCAATATGATGAACGGCTGTACGCGGCCGTGAGGCGAGAGCCACATGTCGAAAACCACCAGCCTGCAATCAGGGAAACCGTTGCAAATGTGTTAAACGAATGTGCGCGACGCTACAGCGAGAGCCACAGTTTGAAAACCACCCGCCCTGAAACTGCTGCCAGTTTTTCAAAATGCAGGTTCACAATTGCATGGAAAGTTCAATCGAAACGCCCAGCCCGCCCTTCCGACTGGCCAGCATAAGCAAAAAGCGAAAAGAGGGGAGTTCTGCATGAGCAAAAAGAGTAGAGGGAGGAGGAGGAAGAGGAGGAGGAGGAGGAGAAGGAGGAGGAGGAGGAGGAGAAGGAGGCGGAGGAGAAGGAGAAGGAGGAGGACGAGGAGGGGGATTGGGGAGTGGGAAGGCGGGGGAGGATGAGGGAGGAGGAGGAAGGGGGGGGGGGCGGAAGGAGGAAGAGGAGAGCGTGGGGGAGAGAGGAGGAGGAAGGGAGGAGGAGGAGGGAGGGAGAATGGGGGAGGAGCAGACGGAGGCCTCCTGCGTCTCCTCCTCCTCTCCTGCACGCTGCCCTCCTCGTCCCACCCTCTCCTCCTCGGGGATGCGGGGAGGGTGAAGGGAGGAGAGGGTGGGAGGAGGAGGAGGAGGAGGAGGAGGAGGACCAGTGCAACCCCAAGACGCATCGACGATGCTACAATCAACC